GCAATTTTAAAGCGGCAAAAATACTTTTTTCGCTGTTTATTGGCTGGCTTTGCGATAAAGATGTATTCGAATCGATAATAATTAGTTATTGATATCGATTATTCATATACATCGATAAGAGTTGTGTTTATTGAGTTCCTTTTTTTCAACACTAGTTTTGCTCTTCGCTCTGGTCACATTGTGTCCATGCAGAAGTAAACAAAACAAACGACGCTCACTCTCTTGAATTTGTAATTTATTGAGCTACAAATCGATAAGCAAATCAGTTGTATTGCAACCTCGTTAGTGAGTGRATCGTKWACGAGAGTGAATAAATTTGAAGACAATATATACATATCAAAATGCTGCCGCTACCGAGTACCGATCAGGATCTACGCTGTCCTGGTTTTTGCGATTGTCGTTTTCCCAGCTGTATCGATGTAGCCAACCACAAAGGAAACATTCCCGATCTGGTCACGTGTCGCTGCGGTGAGGACAGTGGTAATGGCCTGGAGTGGCAGTGGCATCACACAGAAGATTCCGATGCCCAAGTCATAGGCAGAGACATCGTCTTTCATCCCACCTACAGTCAGGGAACGGCCATTGTGCGTGGCGAACAGCCGCTGCAACAGGACAAAGTTCATTTCTGGGAAATGCGTGTAATTACAGTGCTGGCTGGTACTGATGTGGTAAGTTCTAGTGCATTGGCAACTGCATCAAAAGGGATTCAAATAGCTCGGGAGATAAGCGCCACTTAAAAAGATAACACAGCTGTAACGCACTTGACACAGTCCGCCTGTCTCTCGGCATGAGGAAATCTGTGGTGCATAGTGAGTGATGAGTGAGAGCTGATAAGCCAGTTGTGTATTCCTATTTTAACTCGGCCGCCCGGTTTATGAAAAGGTCAATGCAAACGTAATAATTCCACTCGGTTACTATTTATTTGTCTTTCCCTCTCTCTTAATATTTTCTAGATGTTTGGCATAGGCACCGATAGTGTTAATCTGAAACAATTCAAATTCCATTTCGTCTCGGCGCTGGGCACCAATGCCCAATCCTGGGGCTATTCCTACAACGGTAAAATCCAGCATTGTGGCGATCAGTTGCCGTATGGTCAAAAGTTTTCCCAGGGCTGCTTGGTAGGCATCTATCTGGATCGCACACGTGGTCATTTGGAATTCTTTTTGAATCGTCGCTCGCTCGGAGTGGCCTACACGAACATACCAACAGACCCGCATGTCAAAATCTATCCCATGGTCTGCTCAACAGCTGCTAAGTCTGTCATTCGCTTGATTAACTCCACCTCTCAGGCGGCAACGCTGCAGCTGCGCGCATTCGAATCACTTGCTAAGCAGCCGCAAAAACTCGATGAGCTGCGTCAAATGCCTGGCCTGAAAAGAATTATGCAATCATATTGGTTTCTAGCCCCTCCCGTGCGCTACTCCAGATGCTCTACAAATCTGGACTTGGATTTGTGCGATGAGGCGGTACTTTCCAGCTCCAAGCTACGTTTGGGCAGAAAACAAAAATATAGAGGTAAGTTTATTAATTAACTTTYAAAATTAATCATGCTCAAAGAAATCTTTTCGTAAAGCTCTTAATTCGTTCTCTCTGTTTACATCAAATATTTGATAAAACCAAAAAGTATCTCTTATCACTTGTAATTTAACAACTAAAGATAAATGAAGCAAAACAAACTGACTCTAATCGTATTTTTGCCAAAGTTCTCTAAGTAAACTGGAAGATATAAGTTATATACATATATGTATATGTATGTATGTATGTATATATAAGTATGTGTCACCGTACCCCTTCAATTATCTAGAGTTTATTTCAAGCTATGACCTAAATACTTGCCTTTGTCTAAGTCTGAAGATTGTTGTCCGCGCCCTTATTCAATTGCCATTTAATTAAACATATATTATATATATATACATATTTTTTTTTTAGAAACTGATGATGTCAACATCGATGAGGATCTCTACGCGAATGCGCACAAAATTCCGGTGCGCCGCAATGACAGCGGCGATGAGGAGTATGTCTCATCCATTCACGAGTTCTGTGATGAATATTTTCACTATTTGTTGTAGTTGAATATCGGCTTTGAACTTATTATTATATATAA